GCCAGAGTTTCTATAACCTGACTGAGGACAGAGATATCAGACCCAGTGGGGGTGAGCCATTTTGGCCCTGTTAGAGCTTTCTCGCACTCGGGGTGCCAGACACTCGGTGGCACAGCTGAAGTGAAGAGTGTGCCCATCACAGGTGTACAAAGCAGAGATGTGCTCATAGTGTGTCAACAGAAAGATGACACCATCTGTTGGCAATGTAGAAAATGACACTCACGATGTCATTGAGGGTCAGGTGTTAAATCCAAGATTGCAAAGAGGTCTGACTTTTTTACTGTTGCTAGGTTACAGAGAATGCTAATAATAAAGAAGTCGCTGATAGAAATAGAAAAATTTATAGTATCTATAAATCGCCTTTCAAATAATTCCTTTTCAAATAGGTAAAATGTTTCTATATATAAAATCTCAGAATGGTAGAAAAAGAATAGACCAGAAATTGTGGCTGTATGTTGAAGGCGATAGTAAATAAAATGGGTTTTGTGACATTCTGTGTGGTGTAACTTGTGGAGGTGCAAATGCGTTTCTCAACCCAGGAAGGTGGGGAGGGGGTGCGTAGGAGTGGCTGTGAGTCTGTGTGTGAGAGAATACCTTGATTCTTACCACAAGAATCTAAAAATCCAATTCCCTATTCCACTACAGTCTTCTTAAACCTCTTTGTTTGCGCCTGATTTTAGTATTCATGAAGCCCATATATGCATTAAAAAATAAAACAGTGACCTAGTAAAACAGAAACTCGCCCATCCCTTTGACAGAAGATTTCGGTTAATTTATGCAGGCCCCTTTGCACTTCAGCATTTTCCCCCACTGGTTGCTAGGCAACCATTTGAGTTACTGCGCATGCCTTTTTATGATAACTGTCATTATGATTATTTTTTAATTATACAACTGGGACTATGGATTAAAACGGCACATTGTCACTCATTCTTTGCTGCTGCTTTTAGCATTCTGGCACATTGCTAAAATCGCCTCTGAAATTGACATGGCAGTGATTTACGGTTATTTTTTGATATTTCTGGCTTCACAAAGGAAAGAGATGGCATCGCAAGAAAAGCGAGGCTATTGTGAAAAATGGCTATACCATATCCAGCTGTTACTGATCTAGATGGGCCACGTCAGATATTAGGCTTGTGAATCTAAATTACGTATATTTTGTTCTTTTAACCATGTCTGTTTCTAACATTAAATGACGTAGAAAGCTTATATATCACTTTATAGCCTTTTTCTCAAAATCACAAAATGCTAAGCATTTGTTGCTAATCTGCTTTCAAATAAAGCTACCATGCATTTGGGGGAGGGCGCAGCACTGTTCCAGCAGCATCGGCATCCGCACTTGCTATATGGTCGTTCTTTTCTGCCCAAATTGCTCCATACACACAAAGGTGCAGTTAGGCGAGATGAAGGGGTTCCTCTGGCAAATAACAATAAGGTGTGTAAAGTACTCTAAAAAGAACAGGACCAAAAAGATAGACGTCCCCAGGTACATACGAAAGCATTTCATTTGCTGTTCCAGGGTCTATTCTAACCTAGTCTCTAAATATAAAGTGAATTTGAAGACAAAGGAATATGGAAGTAAAGTCTGTTGTGTGTGGGGTTTTTTTTAACCAACTCAATTATTATTCATTTAAAAAATGAACGTTGGTTGAAAGGGGCATTTTAAATTTTCCTATCAAAATGAAAAGAGGATTGCTCTGGAAGAAACCCACAGCGGACCTCTCGTGTCAGGTGTGTGGCAGGAAGGGGGACCTACCGGCACTTCAGTGTGACTTTGAAGTTCGCAGAAGAGGCACCCGTCTCCGGGCGAGTTGGGGGTTTTCCTCGGCATAAGGAGGCCCACACCTATATGCATGGGATGCCAGTGTGCTTGTCTGAAATGAAATGAAACGGAACCTTCCCTCAGGAGTGCATGCTCTGTTACGTGTCTGTTTGTTTCCCCCACCCTACAGTTCAGGGCGACAGCTCAGTGAAGTCTTCATTCAGTTACCTTCAAGGAAAGAATTACCAGAATACTATGAATTAATTAGGAAGCCGGTGGATTTCAAAAAAATCAAGGTAGATATTTTTTATTTTATTTTTTTACAAACTTTTTTTTAATGAAGTAAATTCATTGAAACGATGATAGGACGTGGGCGGTGGCATCTTGTCTGATTGCCGCTGACACCCATCCAGGGCCTGTCACCAGAAAGGCTGGGATGTCCTTGTGCCTTTACACGTCTGTTATTTAAACATCTTGCCGAGAGCTCTGTTTTATTATATTGCATTTTGTTTAAGAAGTTTCAGACTCTGCAGACCCATTGCTCTTTCTGTTTCCCACCCCTATGCTCCCCTCTCCCCCTCGTAAGAAGGCACTTGCGTGGGAGGCCGGGCTCTCTGGACCGTACCCCAGGCAGGGCTAAATGCTGAGAAGACAAAGGGAAAACTGGGTTTCGTGAAGCAAGTAATAACTGTTGTATTTTTCTCTCGCTCCTCTTTTCCTCTATTTTATCCCAAATTCCCATCAGGAAAGGATTCGTAATCATAAGTACCGGAGCCTGGGCGACCTGGAGAAAGATGTCATGCTCCTCTGCCACAACGCTCAGACCTTCAACCTGGAGGGGTCCCAGGTCTGTCTGTAACGCCTAAACACACTTTAACCGTAAACTTCCTGTGTTCCTTTAATAAGTAAAACATTTCATTTTCTACATTTGCACCGTTGCTACTGCCCTGGCAGAAGGAAAATGAAAAAGCAAAAGCCTGTATTCCATGCTACCTGCGTAAGTGAATTGAGGCTTTGGCATTTTCAGACCGTGCCAGCTCTTGCGTACCATAGCTACACCAGCTCCTGCTCACACTTCCCTCAGAGGCTTCACTTCTCATTAGAGGAGGAATTCAAGTCAGTCATTCCATGTAATGCTTGCAGCCGGAGGTCCAGCCTGGGCCTCTATAGATTGTGTATTTGATTTCTTTTTTCTGATGGTAACCTTGCACCGGGAGTTGAAACTTATGGATTAAAACCAAAAAAATGTGTGTGTGTTTGTGTATGTGTGCGTGTACACACACACACACACACACACACACACACACACACACACAAACTGCCTTAATTGCTTACCAGAATTTCCTTTTCTTCAAGCCAATTGCAATTCTCTTTATTTCCCCATATCCACAGTGAGCAAGTTTAACAATATAGAAGTGACAGTGAATTTATGAAAGATAACTAGGGGGAGGACACTTTCACTTCAATTCCACTCACCTTTTGTGGGAGCCCCCGTTTTCCTAGGTGTTTTTCTGGCCTAATGCTCCTCATACCCATGAAGAAAGACCAAGAAGAGAGGCCAGTGTATCTGCCAGCCAGTGCACTGTCAGCCACCACTGACTTCCTTAGGCCACTTTCCCGATCTGGCTTCTTGACCTTCATGTCACTTCCAATCACTAATGTGGAGAACACGGGAATCCTCAGACTGTGCCTTGGAACAGACTGTATGCGTCTAGGTTAGTGGCAGTAAACAGAAGTACTGTTTTGACAAAAACAGGTCTTGAAAGCAAACCTTGTGTGTTCAAGACACTCTTCAAAGAAAGCTGAGATGAAAACCTGGACACACAGAGTAAATACATGAGTCAACAAGGAAGTCTTGTTGTGAGTGACCGTTTACATTTACAGTCTCTGGATAGGTTTTGGGGTCCTTTATAATATGTGGCAACATTGTGCCAAGTCCCCTGTCCCTTTCCAGCCCCACAGCCTCCCTGGCTGCCCACACTCACTGTCCCGCCCCTGCAGTGGCCCTTGACTGGCTTCCCTCCCAGCCCACACTGGGTATGAGTTTATCTTTCTCTGACCACCCTCTTATCCTGTCGGTCTACTGCCCACCGAGCTCTGTGGTTCCCTGTGCACTGCTGAATTCTTGAATAAATTTAACCTCCATAGGCTCTTTTACCCTAATTCTAGCCTCGTTTCCTATGAAGTGAGGAACTAACCAAACAATTTATGGTCTAGTCAGACTAGTCCCTTAAACACCTGCTTCCCCGGATGTGCATGCAGTTGTAAGAAATACTGCAGGGAGCCTGTGTACCCCCTCCACCATCACAAGGTATGACATGCTTTGTAACATAGTCCAGTATCGTGACCCGAAAGTTCAACCCCAGGTGCATCTTTGTTTTTTTTCTTGCCTCGCCTTTTTCGCTTGCTCTCCTTTCTCACCCCCATTGGAATCCTCCTCACCTTTAAGATCTAGCTCATCTGTGATATCTCTAGCTAGCTCTACCATGGCCCCATCCCAGTGCTGACCCCCAGGCCTGTGTCCTATTGGACCAGCCGTGGGCAAACTGTGGCCCGCGGGCCGGATCTGGCCCGTTTAAAATGAATAAAACTAAAAAAAAAAAAAAAAGACCGTACCCTTTTATGTAATGATGTTTACTTTGAATTTATATTAGTTCACACAAACACTCCATCCATGCTTTTGTTCCGGCCTTCCGGTCCAGTTTAAGAACCCATTGTGGCCCTCGAGTCAAAAAGTTTGCCCACCCCTGTATTGGACTGTATTATTGGGGCTCACCATGAGTGGCCAGGTGTGCGGTGCATCTTTACAAGTAAAGGAATACGGCCCTCGAGAGCAGTGGTCATTTTTTCCTTTTTTATTTTTGGCTTAACTTAATCATCTTAACCATTTTTAAGTGTGTAGGTCAGTAGTGTTCAGTATATTCTCATTGTCATGCAACAGATCTTCCTCACTCTTACCTTGTAAAACGGAAACTCTGTCCCCATAAAACAATGACTCCCCACCTGCCCCTCCCCCTGGAAACCGCTGTTCTATTTCTATGACTTAGACTATTTTAGATACTTAATAGGTGGAATCACTTAGTATTTGTCCATTTGTAATTGGCTTATTACTTTACTTAGTGTAATGTCCTAGGGTTCATCTGTGTTGTTGCATGTGGCAGGATTGTCTTTCTTTTTAAAGCTGAATAGTATCCCATTATGTGTAGGTACCTCATTTTATCTATTCTTAGTGGACATTTGGTTTATTTGTACCACTTGGCTCGCTCTTGTGAATAACGGTGGTGCAATGAACATGGGTGTACACATATCTCTCCTAGTCCTTGCTTTCAATTCTTACAGCTGTATACCTATAAGTGGGATTGCTAGATATATGGTACTTCTATTTTAAATTTTTTTAGGGGGGAAAAAAGGAACATTTCAGAAGGTCATCTCTCTCAGCAGCTACAGGGCTATGCTCAGGTATGCGGGTACACTAACAATAAAGTATTGATTAAAATAGTATTGGCTGGTACTGATAAGCTCAGTAATAAGGAATAGCTTCCATTTTGTTAGGGGAACTGCATTTTAAAGAAGGTTGCTTTGCCACACTATTTGATAGACCAATTCAAATAAGAAGAGTTTTTTAAACTACTTTTATTGTCAAAGATGAGAGGATTTGTTACAGAAGTCCATCCTTCTTTCCCAGGTGCACGCCTGTACACACACACACACACACACACACACACAAATACACAGACACATACACACTAAAATTATTTCAACTGCATATGGACTTTTTTCCCTATTTGATTATCCTGTCGGCATGAAAGCTGGCATTGATGTTTCTAGTAAAATCCATGTAAAGCGGAAGCTGGTGTGCTTCACGAGGGAAGCGCCCGCCGCAATTGTGAATCTTCGGCCCTCAGCTTGCCGTTGCTAACAGATGCCACTTTGACTTTAGATCTACGAAGACTCCATCGTCTTACAGTCGGTGTTTAAGAGCGCTCGGCAGAAAATTGCCAAAGAGGAGGAGAGCGAGGACGAAAGCAATGAAGAGGAGGAGGAAGAAGATGAAGAGGAGTCGGAGTCGGAAGGTAAGCTCGGGCATCAGGTTCTTCTGCTTCTGTGCCCTTGGCCACCTGCATCAGTGTTTGCACAGGCGCTAAAAAATCAGATGTTAGAGCCAGACCGATCTGCATTCCAGCTTTGTTCTGCCATGTCCTTGCCAGCGACTTAACCCAGCTCAAGCTCGGTTTTCTCCTCTGGAAAATGCGGTAATGCGTGCCCCCAAGCTCAGCACATGGCAAATGCTCACTGGAGGCTGCCTGAGCAAGCCAGTGTAATAGACATTTTCTGTCAACATTGTGGTCAGTACCTCCTATCTGTTGCTTAGGGTTTTGGTAGCTGGGCTCCACCCCAGAGTCCCAGGTCAGTCGCCTGCACTGGGGCCTGAGGGTCAGTGTTCCTAGCGAGTTCCCAGGGGCACTGGCACTGCTTGGCCCAGGACCACACTGAGAACCACCGCTTGAGAAAATAATTGTTGGAATGTGGTCCATTTTATCCATCATGGATCAGGTACTGATCGTGTGTTTATTTAAAATATTGACATTTTGTGCATCATGGACTCTCGGCATTAATTTTGTGTTTTGACAGCGTTGTGTTAGAATATTTGTCTTGATGACTCAGTTTCGTTGCCCTCTTAAATTCTGCACCCAAGGAAGTACTATACTCGCTCGCGGCCATACAGAGTCCCACCCTGGTGATAACCCTCATCTTCCAAAGTTAAATCTGCCTTCAAAAGTCTAAAGTTTCTTCTTACCTAATTATGTTTCCACCCCATACCTCCTCTCAAAGTAATAAATCCCAGTAGTTTATGATCTGCTATGTCAAACAGTACAGATATGCTTTAAAATTTTTTATTAGATTTGTTTCTAATTACATACTTAGTACAGACAACTTGGAAAGTATTTTTTAAGAAAGGAAAATTTGTATAATTTTATTACCCAGTATACATTTAACGTTTTGAGAAGTTTCCTTCCAGTTTTTTCTACACATAAGTATTTTGTTCATAAAGTAGAGCACACTGTTTTATAGCATCGTTTTTCTATTTATTGGGGGTATTTTCCCACAGCAATCTGTGTGGTGTTTTTGTGGGGGTTTTTTACAGCAATTTATATTACCATTCGTTAATGAATGTACCAAAATATATTACTCTCTAAATAATGCTGTCCTAAACATTCTTACCCATAAATCCTTGCAGACATCTGACGCTTACATGTTACTACTCAGCTGGGGTTCACCTCCTTGACGGCAGTGCCCCAGTCTGTTTCCCCATGCCCAGCATCATTCTCCCGAGTGATAGTGCCTTTTCTTTATTTAACCATTTTCCATTTTATATGGTTCTCACCCAGCTCTTATATCCCTGCATTTGATGAATAAGCCTACACTATCTTAGCTAGGTGTTTCTAGGTATTTCCTTCTGTAGAGCCAGATTTCTCTTCTGTTTTCAAAGAGCTGCCCGCCCAGCCCATCTATCAGTTTAACTTCTTCAGTCTCTCTCAAGGCTTGGTGTGTTAACTAGCTATTGCTGCTATTACAAGTTGCCACGAACTTTGTGGCTTAATAAAACAACTGATGATTTAGATCTGTAAGTTCGGTGTCGGCAGCCTGCATGCCTTCCTGGGGGCCCTCAGTGAGACTCCATCTGCCGATGCTTCTCTTCTTAAATTTTCGGTTTTCTTTTGAGGGGTAATTGACTTAGGACATCGTATTAGTTTCAGGTATACAACATAATGGTTCGATATTCTTATGTATTGTGAAATGATCACCGTAAATCTATAGTTAACTTCCATCATGATACATAGTTCGAAAATTGATTTTTCTTGTGATGAGAACTTTTAAGATTTACTCTTAGCAACTTTCAAATATGCAGTACAGTATTATTAGCTGTACTCCTCCTGCTGTACCTTAACCCCATAACTTATTTTATAACTGGTAATTTGTACCTCGTGGCCCTTATGACCTATTTCGCCACCTTGCAACCTCCAAATCTGTTGTTCTCTGTATCTCTGAGATTGTTATGTATTCCACATAAAGTGAGATCATATGGTATTTGCCTTCCTCTCACTTACTTCACTTAGCATAATACCCTCAAGGTCCATCCATGTTGTCCCAAATGACAAGATTTCATTCTTTTTATGGCTGAGTAAGTATTCTGTTTTATAAGTGTGTTTGTATACACACACACACACATACACACACACACACACACATATATCATTTCTATATCTTGGCTACTATAAATAATGTTGCAGTCAACATGGGGGTGCATATATCTTTTGAGTTAGTGTTTTGTTGCTTTCTTCTACTAAGTACCCAAAAGTGGAATTGCTGGATCATATGCACCCATATTTTTAATTTTGAGAGGATTCTCCATTCTGTTTTCCACAGTGGCTGCACCAATTTACACTCCCACCAGTAGTACACAAGGTTTCCTGTCTCCACATCCTCACCAGCACTTATTTCTTGAAATTTTGATGGTAGCATTCTAACAGGCGTGAGATAATACCTCACAGTGGTTTTGATTTGTATTTCCCTGATCATTAGTGATGGTGATGTCAGATTGTTGGGTTTTTTGTTACTGAGTTGTATGAGTTCTTTATATTGCCTTATCAGATACATGAATGACAATATGTTGTCACATTTACTAGGTTAACGTTTCATTTTGTTGAGGCTTCCTTTGCTGTGCAAGAAGTTTTTTAGCTTGATGGAATCCCACTTATTTATTTTTTGCATTCACAGCCTTTCCTTTTAATGTCAAATCTTAAGGTCATGTCAAAGAACTTACTGCCTGTGTTTTCTTCTAGGAGTTTTATGATTAATTTAGTTTCATTCCTATGCATATGGCTGTCCAATTTCCCCAACACCATTTATTTAAAGAACTGTCCTTTCCCCATTGTATATTCTTTCCTCCTTTGTCATAAATTAATTGACTATATATGGGAGGTTTATTTCTGGGCTCTCTATTCTGTTCCATTAATTTCTGTATCACTGTTTTGATTACTATAACTTTGTCATATAGTTTGAAATTAGGGAATGCAGTGCCTCCAACTTTGTCCTTCTTTCTTAAGATTGCTTTTTGGTTATTCATGGTCTTTTGTGTTTCCATAAATATTTTAGGATTATTTGTTTTATTTCTGTACAAAATGCCACTGGAGTTTTGGTAGGGATTGCACTGAATCTGTAGATTGCTTTGGGTAGTATGGACATTTTTAAATTGTTAATCCTTTCCATGTAAATGTCATGAACTATGCTGCCCTTTATTAGTGCCTTCTTCACTGTGGTGTTATTTTCAGTGTATAGGTCCTTCTCCTCCTTGGTTAAATTTATTCCTCCATATTTTATTCTTCTTGAGACCCACCAAACATGATATTCTAGCAAGACTGGCTTGAGTGAGAGACCCACATTCTCAGTGACTTCATCATCAAGTCCTCAAAGCGGTGTTCTGTGGAAACTTGCCCCAGAACAAGGCCGTGGAACAGATTTTCTTTATACTTTGGGATACACACCTGTATTTATGTTATAGCACGTTGAACACCTCTAGGTGTTTTTGTCTCTATCCTCCTGTGAGAGTGGAAACGAGTGCTGCCTCCCTGCGGGCTGATTTAGCAGATGATTGTTAGCGGCTTACCATACGAACATGTGCACCAGACCGCCCCGAATTCTGCCAAGATATGCCAGCAAAGGCTTTATGGCACTTCGTTTCTAGAGGCAAAAAGCTGGGAACTTTAGCACCCATCCCTAGGGGACTGGTTAAAAAATCATAGTGTACACATAAGGTGGAAATTTTTCAGGTTGATGCATAGAAATGTCCCACATCTGTGAGTAAGAAAGCATGGTGTGGATATGGGCATACAACAACCCCTTTGGGATAAAGATATAAAGGGTGTGTTGTGTACACACACACGGATGGATATATGTGTAGATAAGGATGTGTAATTCTTTTTCTGGAGATAATCACTAGAACAAGAACAGTAGGTAGAGGGACTAGAGATGGGGAAAGGAAGCTTTCATATTCATCTGTTTGAGTGTTTTGTTTTTACTTTCCATTTTGAACCTTTCTATGCTATTAAAAAGAAAATTCAAATAGTTGAATTTTTAATGTCCAAGGTCTATTAAATAACTGTCTACACCACCCCTCCACAAAGTAGAAAGGGTCCTCAGGAGACGGGGAGAGGACCCGCTGGCCTCGGTCCCTCCTGTGGCTGTGTAAGGTACCTGTGTGTGTACTCCACCGTCCCCCTGAGGCGTGCTTGCAGTGGAAGGGGTGCTAACAAGACAGGACGACAGACACCAGGTATAAACCACGAGTGATCTGGACACTCCTGCACCTTTGGTTTGTCATCTCCCTGTAAAAATGAGTTCCCTGTGACTCCTCATTGCTATCTATTTTGTTTTAGCAAAGTCTGTTAAGGTGAAAATCAAGCTCAATAAAAAAGAGGAGAAAGGTCGGGACAAGGGAAAAGGCAAGAAAAGACCAAATCGAGGGAAAGCCAAACCTGTGGTGAGCGACTTCGACAGCGACGAAGAGCAGGATGAGAACGTGAGTGGAGCTGGGACCGCAGCCCTCTCTCTCCACTTCGGTTTCCCTCTCACGCTTCCTTGTCCTTTCCAGCTTCTTCTCTTTATTACCTAGAAATGAAAACGTCAAGATTTGGTGAGATTTCATTTCTGATGGATGTGCACTGAGCTGCCTGCTTATATAACAAGGAATTTGGGTCTTTGTTTATTGCTTTTTTAATGGTCTTCAAAAATGAAAAACACTAAATCAAGTTTCCTTCCCCCCTTTCTTATCTTCCCACTGCTTACTTACAGATAGAGTTTTCTCCAGGGCCAGTTAATGTTTTATCTCCTAACCCCCAGTGTCGTGCCTAGACAGTAGCAATGTATAGATGGAATAAGGATTAGATGGAAGAACAAGAAAAAAGTTAGGATGTCAAAGAGCTGGGTTTGAGTTGATTTTTAAAACACTGTACAAAAAAAAAAAAGGATGAATTTTTAAGTATCCAGAAGTGTTATTAATAATTAAAAAATTCAGGCAGCATTTGTGGAACCTGAAAATAAGAACCTTCCTCGGTGGTACTATATTTAACCAGTTAACTACCACACGTCCAAAATAGAAACCATCACCACACGCCACATTTCGAGTTTAATTAAAAAAATCAATTTGCAATGAATATTATAAAAATAAATATATTACAATGTGGGTGTTCTTGACTATTCTCACCTGAAAATTCTCTCCAAAAAATGATTTTAAAGTTGGTCAGGGCTTAGGGAAAACATATTTTTATTATAGACGTGCATGGCATGTAGGGAAGGTCCGCCGCTTGGGTCTACAGACGCTCATGGCGTACAATGGGGTAACATGGTGGTCGGCAAACTGCGGCTCTTTGGCCCCTTGAGTGTAGCCACGAAGTTTCAATCGCACTGTACGTGCGCGCCTGCACGTGGTATTTTGTGGAAGAGCCACACTCAAGGGGCCGCAGTTTGCCGACCACTGGGCTAACGCTTCTATTAGCATTGTGAGATAGATGTCACTCTCCACACACGACATAAATCGGTGCTTAGGTTGTGTGTTTTGCTCCAGGTGATGTAAGTAGATAGCAGAAGCTGAATTCAGTGCCAATAGCCTGACTCCATCCAACGCAGTCCCTCGCCTCCATGGGCGACCAGGGGGCCGGAACTTCTCCGGGCTCGCCTTCTGAAGCGGCCTCCATCTCACGCACTGGGCAGAGGACCTCAGGTTCCCACCCCTGACTGCTTTCTTTCCGGAACATTCATTTTCCATTACATTTAAAGTACTGTGCTTCCTTCGGTAGATATACCAGGGAGTAGACAGCAAATGCGTGGTTTTTCCTCCCGCGAGTTTTCTAAAACATAGCGCTAAACATAACCTTTCAGGCCAAAGCGAGAGAGAGAAAGACTGGCACAGAGGGTGGGTGTCATTTTAGCTTTTCAGCTTCGAGGCTGCCAAGGCCTCTGTGGTGTCTTCCCATCCTCTCATAGAACGAAGAGGCGCGGGGCGTTAACTTTCCGACATGTCATTTGCTTTCTCCATTGCCTTTTGATGGGTTATGTCGTCTTGTCCTTGTATGTAACGTCATTACCTTGTTTGACTTTAGGAACAGTCAGAAGCAAGCGGGACTGATGACGAGTGATGGATACGGACCTTGTTCCAACTGAATTCCTTCCTCCCCTCTCTCACTTCTACCCAGTGAGTTCATTTGTGGTATGGGCCCTGGGCTGTTTCTATATCATCATCATCACCTATACACTAGCTTTAGGATAGTGCCAGACAAACATATGCTATCATGGTGTAAAAAAACACGCACACAAACATTTGTAACATATTGTGACCAAACGGGCCTCAAAGATTCAAAGATTAAAACAAACAAAGTAAAGCTTTTGATGGAAAATATGTGGGTGGACAGTATATTTCTATGGGTGGGTGTAATTTGGTAATGGTTTGGTTGGGCCTGGTTTTATCACCTGCTCCGATGAGAAGATTTTTGTCTTTTTGTAGCACTGATAACCAGGAGAAGCCATTCAAAGTCACTGGTTATTTTATTTTTCATCAGGCAATTTTCAAGATTTTTATTTGTTTGGTATTGTGTTTTTTTTTTACACTGTGGTACATATAAGCAACTTTAATAGGTGATTAATGTACAGTAGTTAGACTTCACCTGCATAGACGTTTTTCCATTTTATGCTATATGACCTGAAAATAAAACTGCTTTTTGAATTGTATAAGATTTATGTCTACTGTAAACATTGCTTCTTTTTTTTTTTTTGCTCTTGATTTAAAAACAGGTTCTGTTGAAAATGCTATTGAATATTGCAATCTATATAGTGCATTGGATGGCTTTCTTTTTGTCACCCTGATCTCCTATGTTACCAATGTGTATCGTCTCCTTTCTCCCTAAAGTGTACTTAATCTTTGCTTTCTTTGCACAATGTCTTTGGTTGCAAGTCATAAGCCTGAGGCAAATAAAATTCCAGTAATTTCCAAGAATGTGGTGGTGGTGCTTTCCTAATAAAGAGACAGTTTAGCTCAACAAATGTTGCTTCTTGTTTTTGAGTTCCAGAGCACTGAAACCCTGGTGCCTGAGTGACAGGCTCCTGCAACAGAACATTTGGGGGGAGAAGGGACAGAGAGAGCCATTCTGCTGCAATGAACCAGGTGTGTCATGGGAAAGGAGTATAGGACTTGGGTGACTGTAAACTTGCCCAGTGGCAGAGGTGCTGCCATGGACTAAGCACCCCCTCCCCAATCTTTCTCAGGGGTTTAAATTGTTTACCAGCCAGAAAACCTTCCTTTATTTTACTCCAAGTCAATAGCAATTAAAGTCATTTAAAAAAAATTTTCCAGGAACACGTCTTTTGGTCATCCATAATAATAAAAGCGTAATATGCTAAATAGACCGAATGAAGCCAGGGAAGCCGGCAGCCAGGGGAAGGAAGGCCTATTCTTGCACGGATTTCGTGCATCAGGGCCTCTAGTAATAAAATAAATGTATGTGGGCAGCAAGAAAAGTACAAAGAAATCTTACTACCCAGAGAAAAGCACTTGAGATTTCCAGTGTCTAGTGTGCATGGGAGGAGTTTGGAAGTCATCTCTCCCATTCACACAAGAAAAAAGTTGAACAAACTGAAAATCAACAGCTCTTCTTAGATCAAAGCACTGAGGTCATAGGGCAAACCAGCTGCCCCCAAAACTGAAGACAGAGGCAGACGCAGAGAATCACAACCTACACCAGTGATGGCGAACCTTTTGAGCTCGGTGTGTCAGCATTTTGAAAAACCCTAACTTAACTCTGGTGCCGTGTAACATACAGAAATTTTTTTATATTTGCAACCATAGTAAAACAAAGACTTATATTTTTGATATTTATTTATATATTTAAATGCCATTTAACAAAAATCAACCAAAAAAATGAGTTCCCATGTTACCTCTGACACGCGTGTCATAGGTTCACCATCACTGACCTACCCTAAGCAGAAGAACAGGAAAACCTAATCCAATCATGAACTGCTGGAGACTCGGAGTGGACAAGTTTGAGAGAAAACCTCCAGGGGACGCCAGCCTTAGGAGGGAAAAAAAAAATCTCATAGTTTCAGCAGGAGGGGGGAAGTAGCTATTTAAAAATGTGCCCAGTATCTTTTGTCCTCAACAGAAATTTTTCCCAGAGCCTAACTGACCTGGAACAAGGGAAATAAACACCCAACTCCAGTATCCTCTAAACTTACCATCTCTCATAAGAGGGAAAAACAACTGAGTAGTTGTAAAGGTCACAGCTCGGGGTCACAGGCTCACAAAAGACAGAACTAGTCTTAGGCTATAGAGCAGCGGTTCTCAACCTGTGGTTCGCGACCCCTTTGACAGTCGAACGACCCTTTCACAGGGGTCGCCTAAGACCATCCTGCATATCAGATATTTACATGACAATTCATAACAGTAGCAACATTACAGTTATGAAGTAGCAATGAAAATAATTTTATGGTTGGGTCACAACACGAGGCACTGTATTTAAAGGGCCAGAAGGTTGAGAACCACTGCTATAGAGCATCTCTCCCTTCCCCTCACCACCACATCAGCAGGGCTTCTGTACAGCAACAAGGTAATACAACTGAAAAACATGCATCTCAGGTCACACTTGTTAATTCTCTGGGAAAACAAAGACCAAGGACACCAGAGGAAACTTGAGCTTTAGTAAACAGAACACAGCCAAACATAAAACCTCGCACTAACGTATCTCAATCCTTTTTACCTAGTACATTATGTCCCACTTTCAACAAAAAATTACAAGGCAAACTAAAAGACAATGCATTTTGAAGAGACAGAGCAAGCACAGCTATGGCAGACATCAGAATTATCAGACGGAATTCAAAACAACTGATTAATATGCTAGGGACTCTGGTTAAAAAATAAAAAGGACACATGCAAGAATAGGTGGGTAATAAATGCAGAGAGATGGAAACTCAGGAGTCAAAGGAAATTACAGAAATCAAAAACGCCCCAACAGAAACTTCCCAGACTGAAATCTAAAGAGAGGAAAAAGGCTGCCAGGCACTGTGGGACAACAGCAAAAAGCGTAACATGTGAGATAGGAATACTGGAAGGAGAAGAAAAGGCACAGAAGAAATATTTGAACACCAAGCCAGATAAATACAAAAAACATTTATATAAGCATATTATATCCAACACACAGAAAAAAAGTACTGAAAAAATCCAGAGGAAAAATATCAGAGTAAGGATAAGAACCTCCGATGTCTCAGAAACCAGCAAGCAAGGATAGTGGACAATTTAAAGTGTTAAGAAAAAAAAAACCAATTGAGTTCTACACTCTGAAATATGTTCTCAGACAAAAATTGAGGGATTAGATCTGCAAGAAATGTTAGAAGTTCTTTAGAGAAAAGGGAAAATTATATATATGTTCTAAAACGTGGATCTACATGAAGAAAGGAAGAATATTAAATGAAGAAAAAAAACTTATTACTCTTAATTGATTCCATGATTATAGCTTATGGATAGTTAAAATGAATGACAACTATTATAAAGGATGGGAGGGGAAGTGGGAATCCTGTGTTATAAGGTACCTGTACTGCCTGTGGTGGTGGTACAGTGTTACATGATTCTTTTAATTGTAAACCTATATTGCTAACTCAAGGATAGCCACTAAAAATACAGTTTTAAAAAGTAAATAATTGACCCCTAGCTGGTTCGGCAGTGGATAGAGTCATCCTGCGGACTGAAGGGTCCCTGGTTTGATTCCAGACAAAAGCACATGCCTGGGCTGTGGGCTCAATTCCCATGAGGCAGCTGATCAATGGTTCTCATCATTGATGTTTCTTCCTCTCAGTAAAAATATATAGCCCTAACCGGTTGGCTCAGTGTATAGAGCAGGGGTCCTCAAAACTACGGCCCGTGGGCCACATGCAAATACAAATATTGTATTTGTTCCCGTTTTGTTTTTTTACTTCAAAATAAGATATGTGCAGTGGGCATAGGAATTTGTTCATAGTTTTTTTTTAAACTATAGTCCGGCCCTCCAACAGTCTGAGGGACAGTGAATGGCCCCCTGTTTAAAAAGTTTGAAGACCCCTGGTATAGAGCGTCGGCCTGTGGACTGAAGGGTCCCGGGTTCGATTCCGGTCAAGGGCATGTACCTTGGTTGCAGGCACATCCCCAGTAGGGGGTGTGCAGGAGGCAGCTGATCGATGTCTCTCTCTCATCGATGTTTCTAACTCTATTCCTCTCCCTATCTGTAAAAAATCAGTAAAATTATATTTTTTTTTCAAAAAAGTATAATTGAAATTCTAAGAGGAGGGGAAAAATGGAATCATACAAAATACTTAAAGCCTGGGGAGGCAGAAAAAAAAGAAAAGAAGAATGAAAGACAAAAAAAAGAGCAAGGACACACAAAAAAATAGAAAACAGTAGCAATTATGATAGCTACCAATACAACTATATCAATAATAACTTTAAGCATCAATAGTTTAAATACACCAATGAAAAGACATATCAGAGTGGACCAAAAAACAAAACCCAACTCCATGTGGTCTACAAGAAAGGTACGTAGTTGCATGTGCAAAGGGCTTTGTGAGCAAGCGAAGCACCCTTACCTGCCCCTGCCATTCAGCTGTGTGAAATGGTGAGGCCGCTCTGGATGTTCCAAGGCGGCAAAGTTGGAACCGCAGGGCCCTGAGGCCTGCTGCTTTGCCAGCCCCTTTGAGCTGGCGGGAATGTCAAAACACAGTTCTTCTCTGCCTCTGGGCTTCTAAGGAATTTTCTCAGCCTGGTAGCTCTTGGGGAAGCTGGCCCGTCAAGGTGACACTAGCTTAAAATTGCCTCTGCATTAAGGTTATGAGTTAGTTGTTGGCTAAGGTTTAACAGAAACACCATGATTTTTCCGTGTTTGAATAGGTTGGTATGTTGAATACTTGGAGTGAAATCTCCCAAAGAGGAACAGCTGATAGGAATAATTCACATGTAAATAATTCCAGGGAATTCATATTCACGCCAGCATTTTTTAAGGCTGGTTGATGTGGAGAAACGATAGAACTCCATTTCTGAGCTTTCAATAACACAAGTTCAGGCCCTGTATAAAAAGACTCCCTTCAGGAAAGGACCGGTCTAAAACACAGGAGGCACAACAGTTCCTCTGTCCTCTAACAGCGTTGGGAAGGGATGGTACGGTGTTTGCAGGCACAATGTAGTTAAGGTGTCTGGCTCCGAGCTTTCCATTGTTTGAATCAGGCCACATGACCTTACAGAATTTCTTCGGAGCCCCTACGATCATTTCTTGAGAACCCACATCTTTAATAAACAACCTAAATAGGGAGAGTTTCCCAAGAGTTGAATAGGAGTTTCCATTTCTTTCAAAGTCTAGTCCCAGTTTTCAGCCCGGAACTCTCCCCAATGACCTTCCTTTATGAAATGCACTGAGGGCATCCGTGCCAGGTCTATGCTCGGTGCTGGGGAAAATACCAAGGAGAGTAAGCTCCAGTACCTGCTCACGTCTCCCTGACAACCAGGAACCCTCACTGCCCACTCTGCCACCCCCTACCGCCCCTGTGGCCAACGATCTCACCCACTTTAACACTCTTGCAGTGGCATCTCGTCGCCCACGGAGGGCCAGACTGCTTGCTTTATAAGGCTGAGCAAGTACACACTACAGCATCTCTTCTTGGTTCCCAGGGTGGGTGGGAATCACACTTAGATTCGGTTCTACATTGTCTAGTCCCAAACCAGAAAGCAAGCAGTGCAGAGCATGTACACCAGATCAGGAGACCAGTATGAGTCAGCACGCCAGAGAAAGATACCAGCACATGAACACATCACTCCTGGCCTCCTCCGGTGGCTCCCAGAGGTCTGTCCAAAGTTCTGTGGTCACCTCAGCCCACACACAGTGCAGAGCCCCCGAGCAGGGCAGCAGCCCCGTGGTCCCCAAAGATGTGATGATAACTATATATACACCATGCAAGTAAAAGCAAATATTAACATGCCATATTTTATCAATTCTAAAATTTACGTATCTTTACATCTTGGAAAACA